TCAGGCCTTACCCATGGAAATCAGGGGGTTTTCTACAGGACCCAGAAATGCATTTTGTAATCTCCACATTGCCTTTGGGGGGCAGGGGAGGGCAAAGTGCTAATGAGAGCATGTCTTGAGCATCCACTAGGTGCCAAGGCACGAAACTCACCGTCTTCTGAACTCGGCACCGCTGGCTTCGTTATGAAATGAACCCCGTGCGCTTTGGGGGTTATTCTTCTTGTCCTGTCCCATATTCCTCCCCACTTTGAGACAAAGCCCGTGCCTCTTCTGAAGGCTCAGGGGCCCATTTCTAGTGCCCCATTTCATTCCTCCCACCTCCTCCACAACCTGGCTGTTAGAACTTCCCAGGCTCCCACTCCCAACCCCCCCAACCCCCAGCCTCGCAGGAGAAGAGGTCGGGAAGGCCAGCGCTCGGCTCTCCCTGTGGTCGACCTGGCTCCCCCTCCCTCCCCAGCCCTTCTTCTAGCTTACCACTTCCATCCTCTCATCGCCCCCACCCCAGGAAGAAGGCGACCCCAAACCCTTACCTTTCAGTGCCGAAGTCCCACCCACCAACAGACAGCAGGGTTTTCAGCCTCTGGTTCCTGGGGTTCAGGAAAAGAGGGGGGGGTCAGCTGGGTCCTCACACCGGTGGGCAGCTGTAGCCACGCTTCATTCAGACAGGAAATAGGAGCGAGGGGAGGGGGAGGGAAACTCAGGGAGGCCATTAGAGTCTGAGCTGGGAGTTGGTGGCAGAGGAGAGAGAGGACTTGCCGGCAGGGGCAGGCAGAGACAGCCGCAGGGGCAGGCAGAGACACCCGCAGCCACTGCACACAGGAGGCAAGAGGGAGCTGGCGCGGTTGTCAACAGGCAGCCCTTGGGTGGGGGAGAGGGCTTCAGGAGTCACCCTGGAGAAGAGGTCAGGCTTGGAAGGAAGAAAGAGGAACACACCTCTCCTTGAGCCTGTTGAACTCTGGGTAGAAAACCGCCTCATCCCGGGCAGTTTTCGCCACCAACTGGTTGTTTTCCATTGAGGCAAATGCAAATATCAGGTGGGTGCAGAGCAAGGGGTCCAGGTCCTTGGGGGCGATGGAGGCCATGCCTGGTCGTCTATGTGCCCAGTTGGTGAGATAGCATACCAGTTTGTGGGACACACCTGGCCGGGGAGGACACACAGTCGTTGGCAGACACCCAGGAATGGGGGAGTGGGGAGTGAGGGGTGGGGAACTCTCAGCTCCCGCAGAGCTGTACGGACACCAGCTCAAGAACCCAGGCCACTGTAGGTCCTTCCCCCATGTCCTCCCAAAGTCCCGCTCTCAGGGCTCCTCGACCACTGCCGAGGCCCCCTGGGAAAGAGAGACTCCCCTATGCAATCCTGGGCCTCAAGGCCGCATCCTGCACATAGTGGGTGATTGGCCAACAGCACATGACCCAATTCCCTCTGCTGAAGTAAATGAGATCCGTAATCCCGGACCCAGGAGCCGGGTGGGGTGGGACTGCAGGGGACACTCAACATGGAGGGCCAGAGACTCCCCCCTGCCCGGGAGGGGGCCCAAAGTCCTTACCATCGCAGTGTGCCAGCGCCAGAGCCCACCCTGTATGGAGCAAAGGGAGGAATGACCCTCAGAGGTGTGCACGCATGTGCCCCAAGTGCCCCAAGCCCCAGCCCCTACCCGTCAGCCAGAGGTCGGCCCCTTCAACACGCCCTCCCAAGGCAGGTGCCCACGTGGAGGCAAGCATGCCACTCCTCCCTTCTCTCTCCTTCAAAGCTGGGCAGGTGAGCTAGTCTGTCTAAGCTCCTGCCCACGCCAACCAACACGGCACGCACGCATACTCTGCGCCAGGACAAGAGTGTGTGTGTGTGTGTGTGTGTGTGTGTGTTCTGGTTTTTCAGCCCTGGCAAATGATTGGATCCGTGGGTCTCCTGCTCGGCTGGACATGGACCTGCGCCAAGACAAGAGTGTGTGTGTGTGTGTGTGTGTGTGTGTGTGTGTGTGTGTTCTGGTTTTTCAGTCCCGGCAAATGATTGGATCTGTGGGTCTCCTGCTCGGCTGGACATGGACCTGTGCCGGCTCCCCCCTCCCGCAGAGGTTCTGCTGTAGCCGTCGTTCTACGTTGCGCAGTCACGTTTGACGCCACGGCCTGCACCGGGCCTCTCGGGCACCGCTGCCCTTCACTGCGATCCAACTGTCGCGGTGAATGGCCGTCCAGCTGGCTCCAACTCATGGCAACCCCCAGCACCACAGAATGAAACCTTGCCTGGTCCCGGGTCACTGCATGGCCCTGAATATGCCCAAGGCCACGGTCACAGCCCCTGTTTAGTTTGAGGGCCTTCCAACCCAGCAAGTTCTCCATTCAGCTTTCTCTCGGACAGTACCCTCTTGGGCACCACAGGGTTTTCACAGACTGATTTTCAGAATTAGATCTCCAGACGTTTCTCCCTAGTCTGTCTCATTCTGGAAGATCTGCTGAGACCTGTCCGCCACGCGGGCCCCTGTTGGCATTTCTATGTTTCTGCATCATAGTAACATGCAAGCACCACAGTGTGGCAAACTGACAGGTGGGTGGTGGGTCCCGTCTTATGTCTACCTCACGTAGACCCCCTAAGTCCCAGGCTGTGATACTATGGGGAGAGGGGAAGAGGGACCCATATACTCACCAACCCAAAGCAGGAGCTTCCCCATCTTGATGGTCTGACAGCTGTGAGGCTGGGGCTGGAGTCCTTTTATCTGCGCTCCCCCATGGATAGCCCCGGGACTGCCCACTGCACACACACACACACACACACACACACACACACGCCAGTGCCAGAGTCGGTGATGCATGAGCTGCTGCCTCAGAGTCACGGTGACCCCGGCACCTCCCGTTCTTACTGTCTCTCTCAGAAACCAGGCCCCAGCTCCGAGCCAGCACAGCATGAAGGAGGGGTCCACCTGAGTCGTGCTCAGCGCAGAGCAATGCTCCTAAGCCCCTCTCTACAGCTCACCCCTCATCCTGGTGTCTGCGCCCCCACGGGCTAGGGATGGAGGAGAACCACAGCACTGAAGCAGTCATTCTGTTGTTATAAGACTATGGGTTGGGGAAGCCATGTAATAAAAAGTTTTAAAGACCCAGATTTGGACTCATGGAGTTAAGATTTGAATCCCAATGTCGCCACACCACTGAGAAGTTTTGTCATCTTGGGTTAGTTACTTAGCCTCTTGAAACATCAATTTCCACATTTGCAACACAGAGATAACGGCTCTTATTTACCTTCTATGTTGCCATAGAGATTAAAAAGATAATGGATGCAACATTCTTAATAATCGCTCCGCTTATAATGAGGACTCAATGAATGGAAGCCATTTGTCAATGACATGGAAGCCAGATGTCATCAGAGGCACTAAACAGGCTGCCCAGTAGAGTTGGGTTCTCAAACACAAATGCTGACATGCAGGCAGGTCATGTAGCTGGGGCAAATGCACACAATCAAATCATGCCTTCTTCAGCTTATGAAGAGTAAGTGCTCAAACTCAACAACGGGCATAGCTGACGTGCGGCCTCATGCTCAGAAGACCACAGAGATGGGCATGAACAGGGTCAGCACTTCTGAGCAGCCTCTCATGGTTGCCCAGCGAGGAAACAGACCCAGTGTGTGTAGACAATGGACTTCTCAAGAGAAGACCCAAATCTGAATTTCTGTAGGAGCCAACATCTGAGTCCACGTACGTATCAAAAGCCTACGGAACGCGATGAACAGGATTCTGGGCACCTGAACGATGTGTTTTAAAATAGAGAGCAAGCAGCCATATGAAGGGTGAACAAAATGGGTCTGCGAGCCAGATGTTCTTATGATTCACCAGTCTTCTTTCTCCTTCAGTGGGTCTCAGACCAGGCGTGTGCTCCACATTTCAAGGTTTGAGGCTCAGTCCAGTCATGGACGACCAGCAATGACCTGTTGGTCATGATCTAACATGTGCTTTTTCTCAAAGCCTGACCAGGTGACCTAATGCACTCGCCACTAACGTTATCACCCAGATGCCAACCCAGGGAGCAGCACAGGGAAATAACGATGGCTGGTATTCTGAGTTCCCATAACCTCCATCCTTCATCTCCAGTATGGAAGGCGTTTTGTTTGTTTGTTCTTTGTTGTAATCAACAGGTGTTTGGAGACCATGGAGTAAACGTCAATGGAATAAAAAGTATCGGATTTTGGCAGGGAGATATTTTCTTTACCAAACTCTCAGAAGGTCTGTTAGAGGATCCCACCAAGAGAAATGCATCCACCCTGGCCATCTGTGGTAGTTATATAATCGTTTGTCAATTTGAGGATAAGGAACGTAGGGGTGGAGTCTAGTCTGTCAATCAGATCATAGCCAATGAGGCCTCTGTGTGGGCATGGCCTTCTCCTGAGAGTTCTGGGAAATCCTGTATTTCTTATTTAGAGGTGGGAGACACTGCTCTCTCTCAGTCCACTCCCTGCAAGACACTCTACTGACAATGTGGACTCCCTGCGAGGCATCCCTGAGGAGAAGCCACATGGATCTACCCTGATGCAGCTGGAAGCTGGAGAAGCCATGTAGAGACCAGCGCTGAGATTGCTTGCAATGCCACTGGATCCAAATACTTTCTACCCACTGGCCTGTGATTGTCCTGCACGCGGCGTCATTGCATGTGTTTCGTGAGTCTGAAGAGGACTTTAGAGATTGGTATCAGACTTATGGGCTTGGACTGGACTGGGTTGGGATGTTTTCTTAATGTACAATTACCCTTTATAGAAAACTCTCTCTTATACCCATACGAGTTTCTATGGATTTTTTTTTCTCTAGTCTACCCAGACTCACACAACATCCTTCGTGTAGTCCACAAACACCCACTGAACATGTGGTACATGCTGGGCCCAGCCGGCTAGGAACCCTAGCTATGATGGTGGTCTGCCCTCAAGAAGCTGAGAGTCGTAACTGCATGGATTCCGTTCCCCAGTGCTAGTGTGCGCTGTGGTCCTTTGAGGAACCACGTGATGGGTGCAGTGGGGAAAGCATGGGTTTTGTTGCCAAGCAGACTTGAGGTCCAATCCCTGCAGTGAAGACCAATGGGACCACTTGAGTCCCATCTGCCTGCTCAAAGCCACTCTCCACCTTTGGGCTAATAGTAACCCGAATCAGGAGACTATGAAACTTCCTGAGACCCACAGTGGATCCGGCTTGGCAAGCAACTTGTACCATTGGGTAGGTTGTCCCTGGCAGTTTCTAATTCTGATGACTTATAGTCCTCTCTTAATCCCCAGGAATCCATGTGCCCTAATTCATGCTATTCTTTTATTTAACGCCCCTTCTTTTTCTGGAAAACTGCTTGGCCCCCCATTTGGCTTCTCGGCTTCCTCCGTCTGGCAAGGCTCCCTTCATCCACGGCCCCGGGACTTGCTGGCTCCTTGATGAGGAATGACTAGACCCTCGACTTCGGAATCTCCCCCTCTTGCCTACTCCCCGATCCCATTTGCCATCACTGCTGGGCTTGCGTCCTTCCCCCTAGAGCCCACCAGAAGCACCAGTTGTGAACACTACGCTCACCATGGAAGCCAGTTTTGCCTCCCAGGGAGAACCTCATTCATCTCCGGGCTCCTGTTCTGCTCCCGCGCACTTGACTAGTCAGTCTAAGACCTGATCCTTCTCTGCCTGCAGAAGTGACTGGTGATGCTGAGAAGAACACCAGGCCATAACAGAGTGCCCAGGAACGGCCTTCGATTCATTCAGGGATGGCTGTGCCAGATTGTCGGCAACAATGACTCTGTGTATAGGGCAGGTGGTGAACAGTCAAATGCTGAATGAGGGTTATGTTAGGAATCAGTGGGCCATGTCTCGGTTCACTCTCAACCTCTCCCTATGTGCTTGCTGCCAGAAACAAGGGGGGAAAGGCAGCCTCTGCTTTTTACCTTGGTTTTATTTTGACAGCCCCACCCAGATACTTGGAAAAGATCCCTCCCTGGTCACACAGAGTAACAGACATTTACAAATGGCTCACTGAAGAAATCCCACAGTGCTGCAAACCACCTGGACTTTATAACATCCACCTACATCAGGGGCCGGCAAGCTGCGCTCGAGGGCCCTATGTGGCTCTTTGGGTACGTACGCGTGGCTCTGAAATAAAATTTGAAATGAAAATAAAACTAGCTTAGTTTCATTTAAAGGGTATTTGTAAAAATAGGCTTAGGGCTCTTGACTAATTTTTAAATTGTTGTGAGGGACAGGATTGGCTCTTCCATCTCACAAGTTTGCCCACCGCTGACCTAGATGAAGACAAAATGCTATTGCTGTTACAAGGCATGTGACCAAATTCCTCATAGTGTTCATGTGAATGGATTGGAAGTGTGGCCTGATAAAACCAGTTGATTGAATAAGTATCCAACGAGTGCTAACTATAAATCAATAGAATGCTCCAGTTGGCTACCTCATCTTTAAGGAGCCCTGGTGGTGCAATGGGTAAGTGTTTGGCTAAAAGGTTGGCAAGTTTTCACTCGCCCAGCAGCTGTGGAGAAAGCTCGGACCATCTGGTCCCAAGAAGATTATAGCCTAGAACATCCGGTGGGTCAGTCATGGGAGAACTGTACTCTGACGCTTTTCAATAGCTGACATTCCAGAATTAGACCACTAGACCTTTCTTCCAATTGCCTCTAGGTGGACTCGAACCTCTAAATGCTTGGTTAGCAGTGGGATACATAAACTGTTTGTAGCACCAGTGACTCCCTGGACTTACGGTGGGCACTAAAAAGAATGGTATCCATTGTTGTTGTTGTCCCTGTTGTTTGCTGTTATCATTCGCAGTGACATCAGCACGTAACAGTATTGAGCTAATTGTTGAATAGGTTGATACTAATTGATGCATCACAGTTTTCCCCATTGCTAAGATTCTATTGTCCAGAAAGCAGTGCAATCCTTCATCATCTATTTATTCATTCAACACGTATTTATTGTTGACTTCAGTGGAGCAAGCAAAACACCAAAGCACAGAAACAAAAATAAAAGCATGTAGCTCATATTTACATATAAAGTATCAGCTAGGGGCTGCCCTGCCCTGCCCCTCAGCGATCTCATTACACTTTGCCTAAACCCTAACCCCGCAGCCTATTGTCAGGAGAGAACAGTCCCTAGAGAAGGACATCATGTTTGGGAAAGTAGGTCAGCAAAAAAGAGGAAGGCCCTCAAGGAGATGGATTGACATTGTGTCTGCAACAAGGAGCTCAAGCACAGGACCAAGCCGGCAGCGTTTCGTTCTGTTGTGTTTAAGGTCGCTGCGGATTGGAACCCACTCAGTGGCACCTATCAACCACCATAGCCTGTGTCAGCCCAAGGTCCTCCCCAGGGTTTTGGTGAAGTCTCAAGGGGTCCTCCTTGTCTCTCTCCCTCTGTTCCTCAATCCTTGAGTACAGATTGATTTTTTTTTCCTCACATGACTCGCTGATGTAAGACTTAACCCTTGTCCTGGCTTTCTCACACCCCCAGTTGTTCCCGGGTTGGTAGTCTACTGAAAGCATGATGGATGCGGGAGGGGAGGGGTGCTGTTGAGTCACAACGCAGAGACCGCTACCAGCCCTGGCTCCCCCACACTGCCCAACTTCTCTCTCCAACTCGAGAAGAACTGAGCAACCAGCTGCAGTGGGTTCTCTCCACACCCAAATTGCTCGGGGGTCACAGCTACACTCAAGCAGACACGTTTCTCAAACAAACATTGTGCCCCTTCAGAGGAATCCTTTACTGTTAATAAGCTTTGCTCATCTGTTTTAAAGTATTAAGAAAGGAACCATCCGGGATGATGCCTTGCTGTCAAAAAGAATAGTATCTGGGGTCTTTTTTTTGTTTTCCTCTCTTTTTTAAAATCATTTTATTGGGGGCTCGTACTTTTTTTTTCTTGCTTTGTTTTTTTTTCTAATCATTTTATTAGGGGCTCATACCTCTTATCACAATCCATACATACATCAATTGTGTAAAGCACATTTGTACATTCATTGCCCTCTGGGGTCTTAAAATAAGCAACCATCTAAGTGAGATGGCAGCTAACTTCACATAGCAGCAGCATATCAGCCTGTGTGACATAAGGGTTGTAAATAATAAAATCTATGCCCAGAGGAAGGGGCATTACTAGAGCTTAAAATCTGAGCACCCAGGTTTCAGAAGGATATGGATGAAAGTGAAAGCCTAAAATCCATCTGCAGGGTCCCCATGTGGATTAAGCCACTAGTAAATCCCCTCTGACCAAGGATGTGGATAGCCACACTATCTGATAAGAGTGCAAAAGTAGATGGATGCAGCTGTGATTAAAATGTAATACCTTATCATTTGTTCTCACTTTTGATCTATTTTTAATTTATTCTAGTTTTTAACTTTTTTTTTCAATTGAAGTTTTTCTTGGTTTTCGTTATTTTTCTTCATTGTTGTTTTGTACATTTATCTGTATATGACATCCATGCTAGTTAAATCTTCAGAGACAGTAATTGGCTCAATCACTTCTTAGTGCTGTGGCAGGGGTGACTGAGGGAAAATGGGGAGATAACAAGAATGAATAAAAGAAGAAAATGTCCTAAAATTGATCATGGTGATGATTGCTCAACTCTTTAATATCATTAACCCATTGAATTGCAATAGAAAAACATCAGGGAGTATAGAAGGATCCTGATCAAAAGGGAGAAAAGATGGGACAGAATTTTAAATTTCATATATATCCAGACACTTTGGAGACTGGATGAACCCTGAAACTCCTGCCCTGATGTAATCTTTAAACCTTTGACCACAAAACCGCCCCCCGGGTCTCCTTTAAAACAAAAAGTAGTTAGTTCGTAGACTGTGTGCCGTGAGCATTATGCTTTTTCAGAGATGGCTCTATGGGAAGGAGGCCTGGTGGTCCTGCCAAGTGTGGGAGAAAAACAGGGCTATCTGCATGTCCTGACCTAAATTAATAAGCCACATCACTTTCAGCCGAGACCCAGACTGTAGTTTCCGCCAGAGAACCTGGAATTCCTGATGCCCCCCCCACACGGTATCTCAGGATGTGAAATGCTTGATCAGCATCTGTCTCTTGGCTCCCCAGCAAGCAGATAGGTAAAAGATATCCATATTGCCTAAAGAATCATCCAGCAATGACATGTGAGGAGCGTTGTTTGGGGCCTCGATGCCGTATGTACCCATTTTTTAGTCCACTTCCTACTGAAACTGCAGAACGCCGTCCAGTTAGACAAGGAGGGTTTCCAGGATACTATTGAAAATTGCATTAAACATTCTGCCAGATGACAAAAAGGGTTTGCAGGACCATGGGTCGTGTTACAGGTCCGTCTCTGTAGTTTTAAACAAGGGTTGAGCCAGCCCCTTGGATTGTTCTAGTCTTCTGACCACGTTGTACTGAACATGGAACACTATACTCACCCCACCATTTCAGGTGGAGAATTTAAATAAGAGGAGGTGTTTTGGGTTCCAGAGTGATCTGCTTACCACGCTTCCTTTCCAAATCACATTGTTTAAAGGCAGTTGATGGAATCTTGAGAAATTTCAATTCACTCAAAATTGTGACGCTAGTACATAGGAACCTGACTTGATGAAACATACTACAAATGTATTCTTTGAAACAAACATAAACTTACCAACAACAGTCCACTCCGCACTTACTTAGGCTCCCGGGTCCCTATTCTCCCTGGTCAAGGACTGAATGACTAACTCTCAGGTTATGACGTTTCTGAGGCTACTGTCTCAGCCACCTTTTTGGTAACTGGAACTCACATACTCATGCAAAATTGGTTATTCCTACAGTGACTGTGGCTTTCAGCACATTATCTGTTATTCAAACATTCTTACAGGAAGACAATGCTGTTCAAAAAGGTGGCTTTTCTTCTGCCACCCTGATGCAGAAAACATCCCTTGGGGGTCTGTTTTCCCCTCACCACTCTGCAATCCTTGAGGGAATAAGCTATGCACACCTACTCACTGCTACCTCTTCCAATTGACCACGTGACCTTACCGTTTACTTCTAAAGGAAGAACTCAGCGATCCGACATTCCAAATAGTTTCCTCACAAGTCACTAAAAATTATTCCCACTCAAATCATGGCAGATCACAAGATTAGAATTCCCAGTTTTACATCAAGGTAATTTCTGCTGCATAAGAGTAGCAAATATTCCACCTAGACGCCTTTACATCGCCCATTTCGTATAACTTTAGTTTGCCCAACTGACGGCATACTTCGTTTCAACACAAACAGGACCCGATCGGTGAGTGTTCACAGGCAGTGGTCACTTCACCAGCCCGGGAAGTAACCAAAGGGTCACTCTGACGTGCAATGAGCTACTTGGGATGTGCAATGAGCTACTTGGGATGTAGCTGTTTTGTTTTTAAGGTGGGCTTTAAGATGGACATCCTGGTGACCGAAATAAACTTAACCTCACATAGAACACACCCTTCCAAAACGAAAGGCCAATGAAGTGCTGAGTTTGATTTAATCCATCAGTATGCTCAATTCTCAAGTCACATGTCATAATCTGTAGGGTTCCTAAATACAGCAAACCTTCTGGAGCCACACACAATTAAGGGTCGAGCTGGGAGCTGCACCTAAGCAGGCCTGAGATGTCACCTTAATGGAAGTTAAATGCCCTTTAGCGCTCCATCCACAAACCTCACTCTGACAACTAACCTGACAGAAACACGTACCTCTCGTACCTACCTCTGCCGGTTACATTGCTGTCAGCCAGACTTTGTCCAGCTAGAAAGTGGATTTGGGGTTCGGTCAATGGCAAGGAACTACATGAACTCACGTGTGCTGACTCTATCAAGGTGAGCTGGCTGGTTTTAGTGAATGCAGGTATTTCCACATTTCGCAAGTGAATTAAGCTCTACAGGCACACCCCATTTTATTGTTTCAGGCAGTAAGTTTTCACAAACGAAGGTCTATGGCAACCCTGTGTGGAGCAAGTGTGACAGCATGTGCTCCCTCCGCGTCTGTGTCCCAGGTTGGTCATTCTCACCACATTTCAAACTTGCATGGTACCACTGCACACTGCGCTGGAAAATCAAATTCATCGGACTTGCTGTACTGCAATAATCGCTTTATTGTGGCGGTCTGGAACAGAACCGGCAGCGCCTCTGAGGTCTGCCTGCTAAGGATCGTGAGGAGTCAGAGAGCTGCTTTCATGAACCAAGGGATGTCCCCATGCCGCCCCTCACCCAGATGCGGACAAACCTTTGGCACAGCTATGTGAGAAGAAAAGCCTACAGCCAACTTTTTTTGGTTGGAACAACTTGGGGAAAATGATTAATCTACACACATTCAGATACACATACATTTTTTAAAAACCTCTCCTCCCTATGACTACGGGACCCCAGAAGGCAGCCTCCGCAGGCTGAGATGCTGCTGCACCCCACGCAGCACACTGCACGAGCCACCATGCTGTCTCCGAGGCTGAGGGAGCAGGCGCAGAGGGAGTGGGTGCTCAGATGGGATTTGCTTTGTTCTTCAATCCAGCCTAGTCAGCAACGCTGTTAGCAGCAGGGGCTGGGCCAGGCTCTAGGGGCACAGTGTGGTGGATGACTTGGTGGTCCCAGCCCACTGTGGTCAGGAGGGAGTGATTGAGCAGGGACCAAGTAGCATCTCTCACAAAGTCTCTGTGGGCTCGGCTTCTAAACCTAGAAGAGAAAGAGAAGTCTGGGTGGGTTAGTGCAGATAAGAGTGACAAAAAAAGACATCTGGGGAAGGAGGCAAACCCATAATGTCCGGGGGTCGTTCTTGGGATGCTGATACCCATGTCACCAGAAGAATGACCTTGTCAGCAACATAGCAGTGTTGCCATCCACAGCGGAGTGTCTTAATCCCTGAATCCAGCTTCTATTTTTGGAGATGGAGAAATGCTGGCTACAGTGAAGCCCACCACCATGTCAACTCTGATCCCTAGCAACCTTTACTTCTGAGGCTGTAAATCTTTATAGAAGTAGAATAGCGTCATCTTTCTCCCGAGGAGCGGCTGGTGGGTTTGAAAAACTGACCTTGTAATTAGTAGTTCAACACTTACCAAATGGCACCAAGGCTGGCTAGAGTAAAGTTAATGATATACAGGCCAGGTTTAGGCAGCAAATCACAGCAAGTTGGGAGTATAATTCAGGCCACCTGCCCAGTGCCTTTTACACGACAGCAGGTTCATTTCACATCTAAGTATTTATTTTGTTTTGATAATGGAAAGGGTAGATGCTCTCCTTGGTTGGAGCTGGAGGCCAGGCTCAGATATGCCACCCACAGCCCACACTCGCCCTTTAACAGGGAGTGTGGTCCAGGAGCAGTCTGCGTGGTCTCCGCCACCCAGAGGGGCACGCTCCTCCCACGAGGAGCTGCTTCACTAGAGGGAAAAAGGAAGCAGCGCCTGCTGGTGCCCCTCCCTGAGTCCCGGTCACAGGACTGCCCTTCACACTTACACCTCGGAGAGGCTGGCGTCCAGCACGGCAAGCGAGCAGTCTTCACTGATGGAGGCCAGGAAGGGAACACTGCAAGAGGGCGAGAAGAGGACATGAAAAGTGAAACCCATGGACCGCAAGACAAAGGCCAGCCCGTACTTGCTCCCACTCTCACCTGGCCCAGAGGGGAAGCGGCCTGAGCTCTACTTTGGGTTAATGTTTGGCTACCACTGAAATCCACACCAACAAAGATGGGGAAAGGAAGCAAAGTCACGGTTGAAAATGACCCATCTGGTCCCCTCCCTGCAGCTTCAGTAGCAAGCATCCCAGAAACACCTGGGAGAAATAAGGCAGCCCCACCCACTGTCCTAGAAATCTACACTACTCATTTGGGGCGCTGAGAAGAAATGAGATTACATCGGCTGTGTTCATGTTGGACTTGACTTTCGGTAACTCCTTGTGCCAACTCCCCGTTTGACCCCGTGACTTCAACGGCAGGTTCAAGCTCAACAGTTGTGAAGAAGGCACCCAACCAGGCAGTGGTTCACTCTGCTGTACACGCAGGGACAGAAGCGACTCAGAGGCACTGCACTATGTGTCACAGGAGACCTGCGCTCCAGAAGGTTTTCAATAGCTGACTTCTTGGAAGACACCAGGCCTTTCTTTCACGATGTCTCTGAGTGAACTTGACCCTCGAACCTTTCATGCAGCAGCAGCGCATGTTAACCATTTGCAGGTGCAAATGCATCAAGACACAACCGAATCAGTTGGTGATGTAACATCAGTCCCACGCCCCACGCCCCACGCATTCCCATTCAGAGCCGCCAGGCCCCAGAGGACAAAGAGTCATACCTGTGTGGGGAGAACACCAGCCCACTGACAGACTGGGAGTGCACAGCTGAGCTGAGGGCACAACTTGTACTCTTGGTGTCCACAAGGGAGACCGTCCCGTCCTCATCACCTACAGACAAGAAATGAGCACAATACAGTGGTTAAGAGCACTGCTGGTGCTGAACTGGACTCCTGGACCAGAGAAGCACTCGAAGCACCCGCCTCCTCTGCTAGGAAGCCGGAGCAGCTCATGACGGAGTGGCTGTGAGAACTGAGTGATAGCTTAACAAGCTTCACCACCACCTTCATGGCCTTAGCTCCATGACAGCACTGCCATTACCCACTGCTCTCTCCCAGCAGACACACCTGCCGGAGACGGGAAACTGTTATTTCCCACTGGCAGAGAAAAGTGGTAAGAGCAGAGAAAAGCAGGCAGCCTGCTGAGTTCTGGCTCTCCCAGCTACTTGCCTCATGGCTCAATGACCTCTCAGCACAGCTCACTGACTCCTCCACTTGCTCAGGTATCTAGCCACACCCAGAATACAGGGGTCGGTGCAAACACACACGAAAGCACACTGGGGGGG